AGAAATTCCCGGAAGGACGAGCCCTCATTTGTTAATAAAGAATAACAATTTGGTCCCTCAGTACTTCTCTTTGCCACCTTGAAGAATTCTCAGTTACTTAAAGTGTAGATAGACGGCCGGGAAGTAAGGAAACACACAGTCAAATGTATCCTCAATACTTCAATTTATTCATAGAAATACAGATATTATATAGGCATATGTCGAGGGGAGTTTCACCCTCTTAACCAATGAGGATATGAATAACATACACGTAGGATCTTTGGCCAAGAACATGTGTTTATATAAAATGGCCACATGTACAGAAAAACATGGACATATTAGGAATAGACTTTTGCGAAGAATGCTGAACTGTCTTCAGAGTTTCTCTCGAACTCCTTTACCCTTGTAGTCCTAACATTCCTGTCCTTATTGGGGACAGAAAAACAAGAGAAGCTAATGTATACATTTAAGCATGCATACTTCGCATATAAGTAAGACATATTTAAAACATAATATCAAGAGAGAGAGATGGATACAGAAGGGGGGATTCAGAGAGAATGCGTTGTATATATAAGAATGAGAGAGAGGGAGAAAAAGGAGGGGTAAGGCATGTCTGGAATCAACAGAAAGACAGAGAGTGTTTTCTAACAACATGAAACAACTGTAATAAAATCTAGGAATGCACAATATATTACCATATGAGCTACTAGCTGAGAGGCTCATTTCCCGTTTTTACATTTAGATTACCTATGCTGTCATCTAAAGCTCACTTAAAGTTAATCTTTAAAACATTAATAATTTACCTACAATGTTAAATGTAATCTTTAGCAAATCTAAAAATGAATATCCATTTTTCATACTGTACAATATTTCTAAATTATTATAGTATTTTAAATGATTGATTTTAGATTTTTTTGTTGTCCTTTTAATTTATTTAGAATTTTATTTAAAATATAAAGATATATACAATTTTAACAGCAATCAACAAACAAAACAAAAAATAAATAAATATTTTATCAGTATCAGACAAAATGTTATTTCATTTAGTTTATCTGCCTGTATTGTGAAATGTAAAATTCTGGAAGTGGTCAGACTACTGCTAGTCTGACCACTTCCAGAATTTTACATTTCACAATTTTGTACTGAAAAATAAATTTTGAATGCTAGCAGCTCATTTCTGCTTTTAAACTCTCTGGAATGTCTTTTCCCATAGACCTCCAATATAAATACATTACTTTAAACACAATTTTTTTTAATGCCCTAAGGCACTAGTCAGAATGATTGTCCATGGAAATGACAGCATGTCATGGAAGCTTTCCATAAGTTTAAAGTTATACTTTACCCAGAACATTCCCTAATGTGAGATCACTGTGTGTGTACACACTCTGTATTCTGTGAAAAGTTCTAAACTTAGTGTTTAACGTCCTCCGGATCTTGCTGTTTTGTTATTTTATGTTACTGATTCACATATCTGCTGGAATCTGGAGACATTTTTTGCAACATTCGGAAGTTACAGCTTCTAAACTCTGTGTCTTATTAACTGTCCCAAATACTGTATGCCTTAGCATACATGAGTGTGTATTGGTAAGCCACTAAATCATTCATGGCTGACCAGTCATTCCACAGAGCTATAACCACCATAAATACTGCCCTGTGTCCCAAACGATACCCTCAGCAATACCCATCGTCCTCTGCGTCTAGACTCCACATCCCATTCTAATAAGTATTTTTCAAACTATGTTTGCTTCACCTCAGTCTTATGCTTTCTATCACACACACACACTTCAGGTTAAACCTTGTATTTGGTCCTGGTAACAAAGGCCACACTGCTGAATTATTGGTTAACAGGACAGTTTCATTGCCTAACTGAGAAGACAGAAGATGACTCTATCAGGTCCTCTTTCAACGCTTAGACCCCCTAGAGTTTTACTGCCACTCTGGAACGGCATCTTTTTTGCTTGAGAAGCTTTTGAAATAAAAAAAGACTTTCCTCATATACGAGAGATATAATATTTTCTGTTTATAGTTCAAAAGAAAAAGCACAAAAATATATTTAGAAGTAGAATTGTGCTAAAATAACACTTTTGTTTAAACCTCTTCTCAGTTTCCCTCCTTCAACATAGGACCCCATTTAAACCCCCCTTTTTTCTCTTTTCTTTCTCTCCCTCCTTCTGCACACTCTTGGTATTAGAGCAGGGGCAGGGCTTATCACTCACCCCTCCTTCACTTCAGTGAGAGAGAGAAAAAAACAATAGACTTTAATCACTCATGTGGCCACAGCAGAGAAGCTGCCAGCCTCTTTTCGCATTAGACTGAGGTCGAGAGAGTGAGAGAGACTGTTTGTGTGTTGGGAAACAGCAATTGTGGACTTCTAAACACAGATTTGTCAGACTGTTTCCACTTCACTCGAACGGACAAAAGGGCACGCTCTGGAAAACCACAAGTGATAATGCCCTTCTGAGACAGATAAGCAAACACACAGGCCTGCTATTAAGGGAGTACCGGGTTTGTAGCCCTGAGCATGTGTGGGCAACCTGCACGGGCATCATGATCTCACACTATCCGCTGGCATCGCTGCTCTCCTGGCCGCCCATCCCACACTGTCTGGACCTAGATGGGGAGGAAGGGGTGGCCCTGCAGAGGTATCAACCACGATCACCAGAGAGCAGCCCTCATTGCTGGGTAGGTCACTTACATTTGTCTGCAAGACTGCTGTGATGTATTTCAATTTTAGCTAGTGCTCGTTTGGTGGTTTGCCTTCAGCATGTGAATGGACTTTATTTGAGTTATGCTTTGTTGTTTTGGGTCTTTCAGAGATGTAAGATGAATCCAAAGTTAAATGTAGATTGATTTGGATTAAACTTATATTGTGTTGGTTTTTAGTCTGCATAAAGATGTAAGCATGCAGAATGAATTAATTGTACTCAAGCAGCAGTCTGAAAGTTCCATTTCACACTGTAATAGTTATACATTGCTTCCTCAAGCAATAGCAGAAATTTAAAATAGACTTAAAAGTAAATCCAATCTAAAAATTGGCCAATAAATGCACCAAAACTATTTTTTAAAGGGGTCATATGATGCTGCTAAAAAGAACATTATTTTGTGTATTTGGTGTAATGAAATGTTTATGCGGTTTAAGGTTCAAAAAACACATTATTTTCCACATACTGTACATTATTGATTCTCCTCTATGCCCCGCCTTTCAGAAACGCGTTGATTTTTACAAAGCTCATCAGTCTGAAAAAGTGAGGTGTGCTGTGATTGGCCAGCTATCCAGTGCGTTGTGATTGGTCGAATACCTCAAGCGTGTGACGGAAATGTTACGCCTCTTACCATACTGTGATGATGCCCTGTCAGGCCGGAGCAATGATTCATAAACATGAAAACCCATTATAAAGGAGGCATTCGTTGCATCCAGTGGGGACATAATTACGGATTATAATGACTTGTACTGTCTTTTTACGCGTTGCGTTGCATCGCGCCGCGTAAACATAAAACCATGTCTGCATTTGTGATCGGAGAAATGACAAACAAAAAGCCCTACTCTACACTGCCCAAAAAACTTGCTTTAAATATATAAAATATAAAAACTCTTTAAATATAAAAAACGTACTTACAGTCTTTGAGTCAGAACAGCCGGCATTGTAGTCTACTCTACCAGGATCAGGAAATGGTCCTCCATAAAATGTGCTGCACACATCTGAATATTTGGGTTGAAGTGTTCTGGAACAGTGTTGTAAATACAACTTAACCACTGATTTCTAGTCGTGTCCTCTTTTGGAAGACCAAACAAAGTAGTTTCGCTTTCACAAC